GACGCTTTCAACGCTGTAAGCATTATTCTATCTTAATTGTTGAACATCGAATATTAAACACATTCCATTTACAAATAAAAGGATATTAGGAAAAAAAATCACTTCAGATCGCTTCAACACAATTATAAAATGTTTCGGAAAGCTAACATTTTCCCTTGACAATTAATAAATAGTCGCAAAAAATGAATGTGACGCGAAGCCTAGTCGTGTGCAGCTTATAAACTTTGTTAAGAAAAAAGGTCATTTTTCGGACTATTTTATAAGTGTGCTAAAGCGATCTAAGGTGCAGTATCTTTAGCCAAATATCTTCTTATCTGCAAGTACCATCTAAGAAATACTATATATATCTTTCAACGTGTTGTCTTTCGCGTTTCTGACAAAACCTCTTATGGTTCTACAACAGCCGCAACAGTACGCAGTAAGCTGTTGACTAATGGGATTTTTACAATTCAAGAATAATCGACTGTGGTTGGTCAATAGCTTACTGCTCACGTCTTACTGCATACTTTTACGGCTGTTGTAGACGAGCCATTACACAATCTAGGATATGACCTCGGCGAGTATCTAGAAGTCTCAAGCTATAATGGTTGTGAGTAGTTGTATACGAAGATGAACGCATAATAAACAAAGGGAAAAAATAACAAAATTTTAAACAATACGTTAGTATTTTATTTTATAATATATGTACGTATAAAGAAAAAAAATATATGTATAGATCGAGAGAATATATATTTTATAATGTGTATATTATGGGCTTTTCATATATTAGTCTCTCTCTTTCTCTCTCTCTCTCTCTCTCTCTCTCTCCCTCTCTCTCCCTCTTTCTCACTCTCTCTCTATTTCTCACTTGCAAAGTGAAGAAAATCTTCCGTTAAAGAATGAAGTAGTCTGTTTCGATATAAGAATCTTGCGTATATCTATATATTTTTTACTTATACTGTTTTATAGCTTGCGGAAAAAAATCTCACGTATGGTGACGTATGCATTTCCGATTAAGTCGTTATGGCGCGAATACAAATTGTGTATGTCTCTCGACATAGTGGACATTTCTCATCTTCCAATTGTTTTTGGCAATCATCGCAAATACATAAATGTCCACATGGAATAAATATATATTCTGCAGTGGCGTTTAAGCATGTGCAGCACATACCACTGGTGCGCGACTTTGATGAATTTGTACCTGTCAGAGCAGCAACAGGGAGAAAAGGTAGATCGGTTTGTTCGCTATCGCTTAAGCGAATAGCGCCAAAATCGTCTTCTGGTGTACGAAAAATATTTTCGAAATCTGTAAAGTATACAGATAAAGTTTAATCAATAATAATATATATTAATCGCACGAATAGAAATACGTATAGAATGTATATACCAACCTTCATTATGCGTCTCATTCTGGTCGGATTCACTCGTATAAACCACTTCCGTTTGTTCTTGTTCATTTTCTTGTTCAGTGCTTGTATGCCCTGGAATAATGACAATACTTATCAACATAATATTCGCATTAATAAATATAATCTATCATAAAAGAATGGTCGCGCGTTTTGCAAAACAACTGCTGAGCTGTCAACCTACCAACATTCTATATATCGATTGTTGGTTTTAAAGTAAGAACCAATCACATTCAAATGCTACTGCGGGTTTGTTCTACGCGCCTATTGTTTTATTCCAGATGTCACGTTACATTAAAAACAGACAAAACAATTGC